ATATATGTAATTAAGTATTTTGGTGTGTTACCAAAAGTTTTTAAAATGCTTACCAAAATTTTTGGTGTCGGTACAATTATTCTGTATTTATCAAAGTATGCACTCCTATTTATACCTTATACCTATTAAATATGTGTTCAATAGACACAATTTATACAACATAAGATGTCATACGTACCACACAACAATGGGGTGCCAAATGATAGTTTGTGCCAAGTTCCAGGGTTGTCGATCTCTTTGATCTTGATGGAAGCTTTCTTTCTCCTACCGAAGAATTTCATGGCAAATTATAACGTGAAACATGATATATATGAATTTCTAGAATTATAAAGAACTTTCTTTTGGAAAGTAACGGGTAATTATTGTTTGACAAGTTTGGATTTTTTTTTAATTTCTTTTGGTTTAATTTAAGAAAACATAGGAAAAACTCTTAGATGATACACTATTTTTAAGAAATTATATTATTACTCTTTTGAAACTTCCAGGTATCAATTTATCAGTTTTGGCTTCTAATTTTCAAGATAGTTGAATTTAGTGTCTCAAGGAAAAGAACTTCTAATGTAAACACATGTCTCAGAACCTTAAATTGACTGGAGAATGAATTTCTGTTTAGTAGAGTTTTTTTTTTCCAGAGGACAGAATCTATTAAAGGCATAATGGTACCAATTGGCTCAGACCAACATATATGCAAGTGGAGCAAAGCTTTCAGAAACATGCCTTGTCTTAGGTTACTCATTGTCAAAGGGCAGGAGGTCTGGCATCATGACCTTATTTGTGACCCTATTGAGTGTCTCCCCAGTAACTTGAAATGGCTTGATTGGTCATACTACAGTTTTGAATCTTTACCAGCATATTATGAACCAGGAAACCTTGTTGGGCTCCACATGACTTTTAGTTCTCTTGTTGAAGTTTTCAAGGAGCCAAAGGTATTATTTACTCCTTTAGAAACAAATCATATGTGAAAAAAAGAATCATTGCTAAAGCTGAAGTTTCTATTCATTCTCTCTTTATGAACAGGCATTTGATAAGTTGACAGTTCTCAATTTAAGTTTTTCTAGAAATTTAATCCGAACACCCAATTTTTCGGATATTCCAAACCTGCAGAGGATTATACTGAAAAGCTGTGTAAGCTTGGTAGAAGTTCATCCATCCATTGGCCATCTCAGAAAGGTTGTCTTTTTGAATATGGAATACTGCGAAAGTCTCAAATCTTTACCAAGCAGTATTCAAATGGAATCTCTTAAAATCTTCAATCTCTCAGGTTGTGAAAAGTTGGAGAAATTTCCAGAAATTCAGGGAAATATGGAATTACTATCAGAGCTCCTTTTGGCACATACTGCAATATGGGAACTTCCATCATCAGTTGGACTGCTCAGTGGCATCAGCTTGCTCGATTTGCATTCATGTAAATACCTTGTAAGACTCCCAGCCAGTGTCTCTGAGATGAGAAAACTGAAAATTTTGACTTTGAAAGGCTGCTCAAGACTTGCACACTTCCCTGAAAATCTAGGTGATCTAAACCAGTTGGAGGAGCTCTATGCTGGTAACACTGCCATTTGGCAACTACCAGATTCTCTTGGAAACTTAAGCAAACTTAAAGTCCTATCGTTAAGAAGAGGCCGGAAGGTAAAGTATCAAGCTGGTGGCAGTTTAATGCTACCCCCATTCTGGGAGTTTCATGGTTTGAGGGAATTGAAAAGCTTAGATCTCAGTGGATGCAATTTATCTGATAACCAAACTGCTGCTCTTATGAACTTGCCTTCTTTACTAGAACTGAATCTGAGCAGAAACAAGTTTATTTCATTACCTGATATCATCAGTCGACTTTCTCAGCTTCGATATCTCAACATAACACAGTGTCAGGAACTTAAGGAACTTCCCAAACTACCTCAGAGTATAGAGGAATTATATGCAGAAGATTTTTTGGCCAAGCAAAGTATCGCAAAGCTACAAATGTACCCGAGATTGAATTTGGTGTCATTCACAAATTACAGTTTTGATCAACAATCTTATACAAGGGAGAGCAATGGTAGCTCAGTTTTGGATGAGATTCTCGGTTCATTTCTTTCACTCAACATGGATAATGTGGTCCAGTCCTCTCTCAACTCCAATTACAGGGTGACTTGTTCCATCGTCTTTCCTGAATGTGCAATTCCCACGTGGTTTAGGCACCAGAGTGTTAAGGAAAAGATGTTGCTTGAACTTCCTATTAATTGGTATAATGATAAGTTCAAGGGCTTTGCTATATGCTGTGCCACTCTCATGGGAGCAGGTGTGTTGAATCCTGATTCAGGGCTATCCAAGAAGTATGATTATGCTTTCGTCAAAGCTAAATTGATATGCAAAGATGATTTAGAAGACCTTAAAGTGCTAGAGAAAGAATGTAAAGTGGGAACAGCATCTAGAACGTATGGCTTGTGTGTTTGCTTTGTCTACATACCATTGTATGCTTCACTGCAGGTGTCCGGCACAGATGTTGGAAATATTAACCAGTATAGCCTATTTGAGGCATCTATCCATGGGCGCATTGTGAGACAGTGGGGAGTTCATATGATCTATGAGGATGAAAGTACATTTTTTGCAGGAAAATATGGAAGTGTTGGTTTCACACCACTTAAGCTGAAGAGAGGCTAAATTAGCTGTATATGCTGGGATATTGAGGGAATTACCAAGAAACCGAGTTTAAGGTAACTCAATGCCTATTATTATTGAAGTTTAATAAATTGAATTTTGAATACAGTTAGATTAACAATTTCATTTCAATGTGGTTAAGTATTTGGTTAATAATGTTGGTAAAAATTAGGCAAAACTAATGATTTACTTAGCATTAATGAATTAATAAGGCAAGTCAATAATTACGTTAAAATTATTAGTAAATGGCAGTTAACAGGTTTGAAAAATATATGAGTCAATCTGATAGCTTAATAGTTATACCAATATAATAGTTACATTTTTATTTTTTTTTACCTGGATAGCTCTATATGAGGCATGTCTCACCCAAGACAACATAAAGAAAAGAAAAATATAGTTCCCAAACAGATGCTATATGTGCAAAAAAGAGGCTAAAACCCCCAGACACCTTCTTCTTCATTGTGAGGTGGCCTCAGAATTATGGAGCATTTTTTTCGTCTCTCTGGCATCAATTGGACCACACCCCTCACTGTTATGGATGCATATGAGAGTTGGAGTCTATGGAAAGTTGACAAAGCCATCAAGAAGATCTGGATTATGATACCTGCTTGTATTTTTTGGTGTATTTGGTTAGAGAGGAACAAGAGATGTTTTGATGGAGAGTCAACTGCTTTAGGCATTTTGAAGACTAGGTGCATTGAAAATTTGTTTAGTTGGTCCAACTTGTATCCTGTTGTTAATGCAGAACAACTTCAGGATTTTACTAACTCATTAGCTCTGGCTTAGATAGTTTGTATAGTTAGCCAGAGATTTTTTTTGTAAGCTCAAATTCCATATCTTGTAAATTTTGCATCTTCTTGATGTTGTTATTAATACCACTCATCTTATAAAAAAAAAATAGTTACATTTTAAATCACATTATTCTTGATGTTGTATATCCTCGATCATTTTTGTAGCAACCAATTCGAAATAAACTAGTTGATATACTGACCTTCAAGCGGGAACCTAATATTAGGGATGGTTGTGTAACAAATCTTCAAAATCTTAAGTGTAATAGTACCTCTTCCTTGTTAAATTTACTGTATAATATTACAATTAAGAATTAAATTAGCAGTAAGTGTTTTAGAAAACTAAAGACTGTATTAGGCACCACCAAAGGTTGTGATAGGGTGGTAAGTACCCTTTTATCCTAAATCACAGCTCTCGGATTTGAGCCCTGAGATTTGATTGGAGGCACTTTACCCCTCAAAATAGGATTTACCTGCACAAATTCATATTAGTCGGGCCCAGAGGCAGTGTCATTTGTTTGAGCTCAAAGAGGAGACGAACATTGAGCAACCCGTCATATATATTCTGTATGTATCAGGTGCATCCTTTTTCTTTTTCATTATTCTTAATGTTTCTCCTTGTAAATATTAGTTCTATGTTCTTTCCGATCCTTTATATTGGGTTTGATTGCTCAATCAAGCTCTCCGGGGTTTTTGCAATTTAAAATGTCCAAGGAAAAAAAAAGTACTTCATCTGTTTCAATTTGTTTGTCTGATCAAGAGTGTACTTTATATCTTATTCTTAATCTGTGATTTGTAGGATGGTCGGAGCAAAAGTTGATGAGTGCACAAGTAGTGTTGTATCTAGACAGATTTGTGAGCAGGGGAAGCACTTCTCTGTTAGTCATTGATCTGGCTAATCTGGATTCGTGCTGAATAGAGTTACTAAAGGGGTAAAGCGTTTTCTCCAAAAGGTTCTCTTGCATTCACAAGTCTCCAACCCAAGATATCAGGAAAGCGCTACCATATTAATGAGGAGATTTTAAAGATGATGAACTCTCCTCCTCTGCCACAATCGTCATCTCCTCCTCCTCCATCGTCACCACCATCACTTTCGCCGGCTCTTTCTCCGTCTTGTTTGCTTCACTTTCTATCAAAAAATTAAAGTGTCTTTATTCATCTCCTCCAGACTATATTTTAGAATTTTTAGTGTCTTTATTGCTTGTAGCATCATATATGGATTTTCTTATATCGTCTTAATTCTATCCAAAATGCAGGGTGGCAAGACCAGACATTGCAATACTTGAAAAAGTCTCTTAAGTGCTCAATTTTTCAATTTAGATGGAGTAGTGATCACTATAATTCCCTAGTGAAAGACATATGCATAATAAGGTATTTGATTCAACCATCAATAGTTTGTAAGTGTCCACACATTTGACAGTCCATAACCCATGATTTTTTAAAAATAAATTATACACAATATGGGCAATTTTTGAGGCCTTAATATTTTGGGAGTTTTAAGCTGCTACTACACTTATCCTAGGGTAAAGTTGACCCTATTTAATTATGCCGTATTTAATTACAATTATAAATATTTAGGATAATTCAGTTTTTTAAAAAAAAAAAATTATTCTCTAACTCAAGAAGATGCTAATCTAAGTTAATCAATTTTCTTTGACTAAAACAAAAGAAATGATTTTCTATGATTATACTAATAGACTTCACAATTAAGACAGTATTACGATTAAATATAGAGCTCTAATTCTACAAACAATCATAGATTCATTCATTAATTTAGTATAAATATTTAATGTAGATAAATTTTTATTACTTTTTACCTTTCACCTATTATTTATGAATTCATTTTCATCGTAACATAACGATAAATAGTTTGTCTCACCATAACCTTGAATTCTCAAAAAAAAAAAAAATGCCACTCCATTCTTGTGGAGTAAAATCCAATTATTTAGAAAATCATTTCTTTAAAAAAAAAATTGACAAAATTTCTTGAAAAAACTTAAACAACCATCTTTTTATATTAGTTCAAGCACTTTGTGAATAATTTGATTTATTTATCGAATGAAAAAAGAAATTCTATTCAACTAGATTAAAAAAAAAATCGACCTTTTAGGCTATAAACCTTGGTGAATTGTATCTTATTAAGTTGCAGAATATGATAGTTTAATACTAAGTAAGAAGCACACCTTGACTAATCAAGTATCTCCTTGTCTCAATCACTCAATGTTAGGCTATGTCACATAATTGTTGAAACAATGGAGTATGTTGCTTCCATGGATTTGAAGTGGAAAATGAGCCAGAGGTAGTGTTATTTGTTTGAGCTCAAAGAGGACACGAACATTTTTTTTCTTTTTACCCTCCCTAGGAGCTCCCACCCCTTTTGCTCCTTTGGTGACTCGAACTCGCAACCTTCGGGTTGGAAGTGAAAGGTGCTTACCATCCGAGAAACTCCCTCTCGTCTAGGACACGAACATTGAGCAACCCATCATATATGTTCTATATCAGGATTCAGGTACATCCTTTTCCTTTTTCTTTTTCATTATTCTTATGTTTCTCCTTATAAATATTAGTTTTATGTTCTTTCCGATCCTTCGATATTGGGTTTTGATTGCTCAATCAAGCTCTGCCGGGGTTTTTGCAATTTAAATGTCAAGGAAAAAAAAGTACTCTCCGTTTCAATTTGTTTGTCTGGTTTTGATTATGCGCACGGAATTTAAGAAAGTAAAGAAAACTTTTGAACCTTGTGGTCATAAATTAAAGATATATAGAATGTATCAAAATATTCTCTAATCTTGTGGTCTGGAACATATTACGTGTAAAATTGAAATTTAAGAGATGTGTAAAAAATATATAAGAGAGATTCTTTTTTAAATTAATACAAACAACTGAAATGGATGGAGTAACTAATATAGCCAAGTATTACTTCTTTGATCATGCATATTAAGATACATTTTTCAGTGGATTGTATTACAAAACAGTAGGATATAATCACATGGCTCTTCATCAAGAGTGTACGTGTTGGAATGTATGCGTTCACTAACTACAATGGGACCAAGTTTCTCGACAGAATAATAGTGCAAAAGTAAAAGTGTTGAAAATAAATAGCACAAAGTAAATCAGGTACAAGAGTTTTACGTGAAAACCTCCTTGCTCAAGGGAGTAAAACCACGACCTGTCACACAGGACTTTTCAAACTGTTTTCACTAATCTTCTCAAAGCAAAAGTAAAAACCAGTTTACAACCACACATAGAGATTAACCTCCTAATCTCTAAACTAAGTAATACAAACTATTACTTAATGAGCCTAAGCAATGCATCCATTGCCCACTATACTAACCCACACTGATTAATATAGACTTTTGACCGTAAGACACAAAGTTACTCCTAACTAAGTTCTTACAAGACTCAAACAAAGTTTGAAACGTTTCTAACAACAATGAAACGAATCCTACAAGTTAAGCTCAATACAAACATTCAAGGACAGCAGCAGGTAAAGAAAGCACTTATTCTGTTGATCAGGTCCTTGCTGTATGTGTTCTTGTGCTTGAGTTCTTCCTTGAAGATGGCCTTCTCTTTTAAGCTTTTGAGTTTTAGTTTGCCAAATCTTAAGTTTGTGTTTTTGAGAAGAGACTATATAAAATCAACACAAACTCATTGAGACCACCCTATTGGCTGAAGGCCTGCTGTTTAGAAAAGCTGTGCACCTACCACATCAGAGGTGGCAGCTTTTCTGATAGTTGTCTTGTCACCTTTTCATGTAGGCAATCCTGCAGGGACCAGGTCCCTTGCAATGTTCTTTGTGAGTTCTTGAAAAGGCTTGCTGGCTAACTTCCTCCTTTGAATGAATTTAATATGGTGTTTGTCATGTCGAAAGTATCAATCATAAAGAGTTATTACCCGTTGGACAAACACCCTCGTCCATTCTGATTGGTTCAGTACGTTGGCGCCTCACCAACCACTGACAAGACAACTTTACACTTGTACCCCATTATATATCTGATGGAGAGAACACTGCCTGCTGGGACCAGGTCCCTGTATTTGTGAGCCACTAAAACAGACAGTCTCGTCCGTTCTTTCTATTGGTACAATACACTGCACTTTTCACCTACCACCTGACGTGACAGCTTTACAGCTATACCCCATTTGAATTTGGACGAGAGCACTCTGCCAGGGACCAGGTCCTTGCATTTGTGAGGATCATCAAAACACCTAGAATATAACATTTTCCCCCTTTTTGATGATGACACACAAATATTCCTCACACTGAGTTTATTCGTTCATTTCACTGTCAGCAATTACAATAACAAGAATTTGGTTCCTTGTTAGATCCCTAAGTTTGTTAAATCATCAAAATTTCATATCAGCTTCGAACTAACAGTACGTTTTATTGTAACTACACCCTGGCTAATACTTGGAGATTTCAACTCAGTTTTACAAATCGATGACGGAATTGGAGGCAACCATATTATTAGCTTAAGGGAGGTGGTTGATTTTCAAGCATGTATTGAAGCCCGTGAACTGATAAAATTACCATATGGTGGGAGTAGATACACATGGAATGATAAGCATGGAGAACAAAGATTTTTTCAAAAATAAACTGGGCATTTGTAAATAAGGAATGGGACTATGCCAGTGTTTAAGGTAACTTTCCTTATGGAGAGTATTAGTGATCTTTGTCCCTTGAAAATAGCTAGAGAGGGAAGTTCTAGCAGGTCAAAGAGAGCTTTCAAATGTTGTAATGTATGGCTAAACACTATTATTTTTATTATTGTTTACCGTCTTTTCGATTCATCTTGAAAATTGACATTTTATGAGTTTATTAAGATGACAATTAATTACCCATAAATAATTTAAGTGAGAAAATAGCAAACATGGCAACAAAATTGTTCTTCTCTTAACTAGTTAGAATTAGGCGGTCATAAAAAAATAATATTGTCCGGTAATTATCTACCTTGATCCAATTATATAATAATTCAAGAATATACTTGGAAAGAAGTTTTTTATAGAGTTTTAATCCAAACACAAGATTATGTGGAAAGAAAGAAATCAAACACTTGATAAAAAATAATTTCTGCACCACTGAT